TCTTTTTGAATTTACCAAGACTAGATTTATGGCCCAGGATGTGATCTATTCTGGAGAAGGTTCCGTGTGCACTTGAGAAAAAGGTGAAGTTGATTGTTTTGGGGTGAAACGTCCTATAGATGTCAATTAGGTCTAGCTGGTCCATTGTGTCCTTTAAAGTTTGTGTTTCCTTATTAATTTTCTGTTTAGTTGATCTATCCATAGTTGTGAGTGGGGTATTAAAGTCTCCTACTTGAGTGGACATAACTTTGGGCAAACTCAGGGATATGGTGGACAGAGAAGCCTGGCAGGCTGCAGTCCATGTGATTACAAAGATTCAGACATGACTTAGTGACTGAACAACAGCAACGATCCTCCAGGTTTGACTCTGTAAAAGTCTTCACCTTTCTTCAGACCCCACAGTGGTTATAGATGCTGGAATTATGTGCAGTTGTAAAAACACCCATCCTCCATTGTTTGCAACTGCTCTACCTGCACATTGCTTTCCCTCTGACTCATGCTCACCAACCCTTTCTTTATTAAGTTATCATTTATTGACATTTCAACTTGTAGCTTTTGCCTCTTTCTCCAGGAAGTTTTCTTAAGCTTTATTCTGAGTTCTGAATGGCTGCCAAGAACCTAACAGCTACCCTATCAGCACTACCACTTGATAGATATGTGACATTAGGTAATGTAGTTCCCTTTCCTTATGTCATATTTATCAATTTTGTAATGAAGATGATAGCAGTATCTAATCTATATTATTCTGAGAACTAAATTGATGGTCTAACCAAAACACCTAAAGTACACTTGAAGTAGTGAGTGCTCCACATACGTCTGTCATCACCATCAGTACCACTGCAATCGTCCCTGTCATTATCTCTATCAGTCTGTACCTGTATGATAATCATTGTGCCACCATATCCAATGGATATTTACGTGTCCTCAGGTAAGATTATAAGCTTCTTGAGAACAACAACTTTAATTTTCCTTACACTTTGCAGAAAGCCCATCTTGGGGTTACTCATTTTAAAATTTTATTATTTTATTTTTTACATAATTTTTAAAGGTTATACTCTATTTATAGTTAATATAAAATATTGGCTATATTTCCTGTATTTTACAATATACCTTTGTAGCCTATCTTACACCCAGTCACTTGTACCTCCCACCCTCACTCCTATATTTCCCCCAATCCACGTTCAGTTCAGTTCAGTCGCTCAGTCTTATCCGACTCTTTGTGACCCCATGAATCGACGAAAAAGCAAGAAAGTCCCAGAAAAACATCTATTTCTGCTTTATTGACTATGCCAAAGCCTTCAACTGTGTGGATCACAATAAACTGTGGAAAATTCGGAAAGAGATGGGAATACCAGACCATGTGACCTGCCTCTTGAGAAACCTGTATGCAGGTCAGGAAGCAACAGTTAGAACTGGATATGGAACAACAGACTGGTTCCAAATAGGGAAAGGAATACATCAAGGCTGTATATTGTCACCCTGCTTATTTAACTTATATGCAGAGTACATCATGAGAAATGCTGGGCTGGAAGAAGCACAAGGTGGAATCAAGATTTCCAGGAGAAATATCAATAACCTCAGACATGCAGATGACACTCCACGTTAGTAACCACTAATTTGTTCTCTATACCTGTGAGTCTTCTTTTCAATTATAACTAATTTGTTCTATTTTTTGGATTTCACGTGTAAGTGATATCATACAGTATTGCCTTTCTCTGTCTGACATTTCTTTGAGAATAATGCCCTCAAAGTCTATCCAGGTTGCCACAAATGGCAACATTTTATTCTTTTTGATAACTGAGTAGCATTCCTGTATATGCACACTCCACATCTCCTTTATCCATTCATCTGTTGATGGACACTTACGTTGCTTCCATGTCTTGGCTATTGTAAGTAATGGCGCTATGAACATTGGGATGCTGGTATCTTTTTGATTTAGTGTTTTTTTCAAAACCTATCACAGTCTTTGCTAATTGAAAGGGATGTTCTCTTTCATCTAGATTCTTGATAATAGATCCTGTCTTTGGGAAGAAGTATTTCTAGTTTATCTAAAGAAAGTGAAAATGTTAGTCACGTAGTCATGTCTGACTCCTTGTGAGCCCATGGACTGTATGTAGCCCATGAGGCTCCTCTCTCCTTGGAATTCTCCAGGCAAGAATACTGGAGTGGGTTGCTGTTTCCTCCTCCAGGGGATCTTCCCAACCCAGGGATTGAACCCGGATCTCCAAGCAGCTGCCAAATTGTGGCTATAAAAGCTAAAAGTGTAGAAATACCACCGTGCTCTGCTTTCTCTACAAAAATGATGCTATGGTCTTAGAATTTCAAAAGAACCAGCAAAGACCCTTCGACTCCAATCTTCTGTTCTTTCCCAATCCCCTTACTCCTCACCCTAACTCCTTTCTTGGGAATGAGTTTATAGTTCTCTTCAAGCCTGCTCCTTGCTTCTAAGTAGCGACGGTGTCCTCCAGGGACAGAGAAAGTTCCTTTTGAAATACTCTTCATCAAGGGGTCTGAAAGCTTCTTAAGCTCAGCCTGGCAATAGTTGACAGACGCTTCTTCATCTTGCAGCAAGAAAGTTTCTTTCTTTTTCTTGATCATGACCTGTCAAGGAAATGAAGAGAAATTCAAAAGAAAGAAGCTGTTAGAAGAGAAAGTCCAACTGTGATCCTCTTGAAGGAAGCAGTTGCACAACATCAGGGCACATGAGAAACAGAATAATAGATACAGAGTCAGGAGACTAGTTTTAGTTCTGCTGCTGCTGCTGCTAAGTTGCTTTAGTCGTGTCCCGCTCTGTGCAACCCCATAGACAGCAGCCCACCAAGCTCCGCCGTCCCTGGGATTCTCCAGGCAAGAACTCTGGAGTGGGTTGCCATTTCCTTCTCCAATGCAGGAAAGTGAAAAGTGAAAGTGAAGTTGCTCAGTCATGTCCGACTCTTTGCGACCCCATGGACTACAGCCTACCAGGCTCCTACGTCCATGGGATTTTCCAGGCAAAAGTACTGGAGTGGGGTGCCATTGCCTTCTCCAGTTTTAGTTCTAGCTCTGACCAACTCTTTGTGTGACTTATAGGAACTCTCTTAACTCTGTTGGCTTTGTCTCAGTATCTGTGAACTGACAGATTGGTAACTGTGAATTCCATTGTTCTTTAACAGTAATAGGATTCATTGTGATCCATCCATCAACAATGAAAAATGGAAAGCTCAATTATGACTTGAAGTAGGGCTTCCTATGCAAACTAGGTGCTATAAATAAAGATATCTACTAATACATAGCTAATCAATTGCCTAACTTAATGAGTTAAGTATACCCAACAGAATTTTGAACTCTTTCTGAATTCTTGCTTCATTGAGGGGTTCAGTGTATGAAAATATAGGAACTTTACTTTTCACTTTTGTACTTGTAAACTATAATTGATCTGATTTTCCTCTAAGAGATTTTTCAACTGGGAGAATGGACAAAGGTAGACTAAAAGACAAAGTTTTCATGAATATGGCAATGGTAAGCAGGATTATGATCACCAAGAATTCTCTCCCTGGTATTCACATTCCTGGACCTGTAAGTAAGTTGAACATTGATTATGTCTTTCAGTTCAGTTGAGTTTCTCAGTCATCTCCGACTGTTTGTGACCCCATGAACTGCAGTGCACCAGGCCTCCTTGTCCATCACCAACTTGGGAGCCCACCCAAACTCATGTCCATCGAGTCGATGATGCCATCCAACCATCTCATCCTCTGTCATCCACTTCTCCTCCTGCCCGCAATCTTTCCCAGTATCAGGGTCTTTGCAAATGAGTCAGCTCTTCTCATTAGGTGGCCAAAGTACTGGAGTTTCAGCTTCAACATCAGACCCTCTAAAGAACACCCAGGACTGATCTCCTTTAGGAAGGACTGGTTGGATCTCCTTGCTGTCCAAGGGACTCTCAAGAGTCTTCTCCAACATCACAGTTTAAAAGGCATCAATTCTTTGGTGCTCAGCCGTCTTTATAGTCCAACTCTCACAATCCATACATGACCACTGGAAAAACCATAGCCTTGACTAGACGGAACTTTATCTGCAAAGTAATGTCTCTGCTTTTTAATATGCTGTCTAGGTTGGTTATAACTTTCCTTCCAAGGAGCAAGCGTCTTTTAATTTCATGGCTGCAATCACTATCTGCAGTGATTTTGGAGCCCCCAAAAATGAAGTCAGTCACTCTTTCCACTGTCTCCCCATCTATTTGCCATGAAGTGATGGGACCGGATGCCACCACCTTAGTTTTCTGAATGTTGAGTTTTAAGCCAACTTTTTACTCTCCTCTTTCTCTTTCATCAAGAGGCTCTTTAGTTATTCACTTTCTGCCATAAGGGTGGTGTCATCTGCATTTCTGAGGTTACTGATATTTCTCCTGGCAATCTTGATTCCAGCTTGTGCTTCCTCCAGCCCAGCGTTTCTCATGATGTACTCTGCATATAAGTTAAATAAGCAGGGTGACAATATACAGCCTTGACATACTCCTTTTCCTATTTGGAACCAGTCTGTTGTTCCATGTCCAGTTCTAACTGTTGCTTCCTGACCTGCATACAGGTTTCTCAAGAGGCAGGTCAGGTGGTCTGGTATTCCCATCTCTTTCAGAATTTTCCACAGTTTATTGTGATCCACACAGTCAAAGGCTTTGGCATAGTCAATAAAGCAGAAATAGATGTTTTTCTGGAACTCTCTTGCTTTTTCGATGATCCAGCGGATGTTGGCAATTTGATCTCTGGTTCCTCTGCCTTTTCTAAAACCAGCTTGAACATCTGGAAGTTCACGGTTCACGTATTGCTGAAGCCTGGCTTGGAGAATTTTGAGCATTACTTTACTAGCGTGTGAGATGAGTGCAATTGTGTGGTAGTTTGAGCATTCTTTGGCATTGCCTTTCTTTGGGATTGGAATGAAAACTGACCTTTTCCAGTCCTGTGGCCACTGCTGAGTTTTCCAAATTTGCTGGCATATTGAGTGCAGCACTTTCACAGCATCATCTTTCAGGATTTGAAATAGCTCAACTGGAATTCCATCACCTCCACTAGCTTTGTTCATAGTGATGCTTCCTAAGGCCCACTTGACTTCACATTCCAGGATGTCTGGCTCTAGGTGAGTGATCACACCATCGTGATTATCTGGGTCATGAAGATCTTTTTTGTACAGTTCTTCTGTGTATTCTTGCCACCTCTTCTTAATATCTTCTGCTTCTGTTAGGTCCATACCATTTCTGTCCTTTATTGAGCCCATCTTTGCATGAAATGTTCCCTTGGTATCTCTAATTTTCTTGAAGAGATCTCTAGTCTTTCCCATTCTATTGTTTTCCTCTATTTCTTTGCATTGATCACTGAGGAAGGCTTTCTTATCTCTCCTTGCTATTCTTTGGAACTCTGCATTCAAATGGGAATATCTTTCCTTTTCTCCTTTGCTTTTCGCTTCTCTTCTTTTCACAGCTATTTGTAAGGCCTCCTCAGACAACCATTTTGCCTTTTTGCATTTCTTTTCCTTGGGGATGGTCTTGATCCCTGTCTCCTGTACAATGTCATGAACCTCCGTCCATAGTTCATCAGGCACTCTGTCTATCAGATCTAGTCCCTTAAATCTATTTCTCACTTCCACTGTATAATCATAAGGGATTTGATTTAGGTCATACCTGAAAAGTCTACTGGTTTTCTCCACTTTCTTCAATTTAAGTCTGAATTTGGCAATAAGGAGTTCATGATCTGAGCCACAGTCAGTTCCTGGTCTAGTTTTTGCTGACTGTATAGAGCTTCTCCATCTTTGGCTGCAAAGAATATAATCAATCTGATTTCGGTGTCGACCATCTGGTGAAGTCCCTGTGTAGAGCCTTCTCTTGTGTTGTTGGAAGAGGGTGTTTGCTATGACCAGTGTGTTCTCTTGGCAAAACTTATTAGCATTTAGATTATGTTATATAGCATAGGACACTTTAAAAAGTAGAGATGACCCTACTGGACATTGCCGAATCACATAAGTCTTTCACATCTATTTTTTTTTTTTTGGTGGCAGAAAAGTTCATCAGAGAGATGAGCAACAAAAGAAGAATAAAGGGCACCATTGCTGGCTAAATGATGGGGCAGGGTGGTTTTTCAGAGCCAATATGAGTGCTGAAGAAAGATATATTCACATATTTACACAGGGGGAGGACAGTGTGGCTTATACACGGTTTAAATTCAACTTTATGCTAAATACAATAACCTGTTTGTGGCCTATCAAGCATGATTTACATGCTTACATTTTACATCTGCTTTAATCATTAAAGAAATACATTTAAAAATCAAAATGGAATAACTTGTGTAGGAATTCAAAACAGCTTGGTGGCCACTGTAGATATGGTTTCAGACATGTTTCTGCATCACTGAGAACTTCAGTCTTCTTAACTTTATCATACTCAAGGATGCCACTATCCATTCCCAAAACAGTGTCTGCTATAATAGCAACTGGAAGTTGTAAACTTATGGTCTCAAAGATCCCATTGCAAATAGGCAATGGTTTCAGACTCCAAACAATCCTTCTTTAACGAGCACTCTTACTTGTCTCCAACTTCTTTCTAACTTTGTTAATTCTTAACCAATAATACAGGTAATTTTGTGGGTTTTGCCTATATTGAGGGTCTTGCAACACCACCACCCCCAATCCCATCCCCGTTTTGGAGTCCAGTGGAACACAATTCAAATGCTTCTTGTATGTGTATCTTCAGGGCACTAGTCCTCATTTGGCTCAAATCAAATTCTTCTTATCCTATGACAAACTGTTTGCTGTTTATTCTTGGGAGTATTACTAAGCCCATTTGAGCCTTCTCCCCACCCCCATCTTGTTGTACACAGAGTATATCACCTGTACACCCTGACCTGGGATCTAACCTGAAGAATTTTGAGTTAATAAATGTGTATTGTTTTAAACAGCTAAGTACAGGGTAATTTGTTTACAGTAGAAAATAAAGAGGCCAGTTTTTAGAACAAAGGATGGAATGTAACCTGTAGAGTCCTGTCTTTCACATGAATCCAAACTCCTTTTATAACTGAGAAGCTTGTGAACCACAAGTGAAAAGAAGGAGCCTAAGTACATTTCTAGAAGAAAAGGTATCAGGAAGGCGATATTCTAGGTTACATTACCAGAAGTTTCTTCTGGAAATCCTTCTTTTCATCCTTGAAGGAGCTCTCCATGAAGACGGCAATGGCTTCCTTCTCACAGGCTGCGTGCACCTCCAGCAGCTCCTGGAGCGTCTCTGTGGGGAGGCTCGGTCGCTGGGCCATCTGCTCACTGTAGTGGTCAGCTGCCTTCTGCACAGCTGCTGAGTTCTCACGCGGGGCCAGAATTGTCACCGCCTTCTCCAGACAAGGAACTGATCCACTGTTGATGGCATTTACGTAGGCCTCCACCAGAGTCCCCAGCCCTGAATGACACAGTATATTTTGAAAAGAAACAGAAAGATAAAGAACATTACAGCATACTAACACATATATATGGAATTTAAAAAGATGGTAATGATAACCCTATATGCAAAACAGAAAAAGAGACTCAGATGTACAGAACAGACTTTTGGACTCTGTGGGAGAAGGCGAGGGTGGGATGTTTCAAGAGAACAGCATCAAAACATGTATATTATCTATAGTGAAACAGATCACCAGCCCAGGTTGGATGCATGAGACAAGTGCTCGGGCCTGGTGTCCTGGGAAGACTCAGAGGGATTAGGTAGAGAGGAAGGTGGGAGGGGGGATTGGGATGGGGAACACATGTAAATCCATGTCATTCATGCCAATGTATGACAAAACCCACTACAATATTGTAAAGTAATTAGCCTCCAACTAATAAAAATAAATGAAAAAAAGAAAAGAAAAGAAACAGAACATTCTGCCTCGTTTTATGAACTTTAGATCAGTACGCTTAAAACTATTAAAGTTTTATTGAATTTGAGGTTTTCTTTCTTCTCCTCATCTTCATCCTTATCCTCATCATCATATCCTCCACCTTCTATAACTTCTTATAGTAACATCACTGTGTCTCCTATGCACTCTATTTTATAGTTCTCAGTTCATCACAATACAATATTCACTGAACTATTTCAAACAATATGTTCAAAGTTCTTCTGTAACACTTTCCCATTGTAATAAAATACAAAGAACTTATATATATGTGAGTAAATTGCATATTTTGTGAGCACTATTTCCAAATGAAAATGTAGTGCCACATGTAAAAATATCATCAAGAATTTCCAGACCATGATACAAACTTTAAAGCAAGCAGGCCAATCTCAGCACAGGGCATTATGTGACTGTCCCACTGACATGGGCATGAAGCCAGCACCACATAAGATTATATTTACACTTGTTTCTCAGACTCTCAATGAGTTTACATGGATTCATGACTTACTACTTATTATTGATTCATGTAAATTCACAGAATACCTTGTATATCCTCACTAGAAACACTTATCCACTCAGTGGTTCATTACCATGAATATGTCTATCCTTAAACTGTCTTTAGTGTAATATTGGGTTGGCCAAAATGTTTGTTTGGGTTTTTCCATAATATCTTACTGAAAAACCTGAAAACATTCTGGCCAACCCAATAGTTTCATGAGACTTGGTATGCTTCAAAAAAGCCTCATACAAGGATATTTAAATGAAGAAACATGCATTTCTATGTGAGAGATGAATATCTGATTTTCCAAATTATATAGAGAACACAATTAATGAAGAAAAAAAGAAGAAAGCACCATTATTGACAATCCCAGAGTACACTTACAACTTCAACTCCACCACACATTCCTCACCCACACTTAATCACAGAGAGACATGCCATAGCAAAGGAGGCTCACTTTTCCCGGTGACAGTGATTCACTCTTTTAAGCTCTTGGCCTTTGCTTGGGTATAGATATATGAGCAGAACACTTTTGATTGCTTCTGGAAATTCCCATCCAGTAGGTTCTCTGGTATTTCCTCAAGATGGAGTAATTGTTTTCTGTTACTTGCAGGGCGGTCAAAGACGAAACACTTCCGTTTGGGAAAGAACTTCCTGATACACTCTCTGGGTAAGTTGGAGTTTTGAATTTGGGGATTCTCATCTGCAAAAGCAGAAAAGAACAATCAAAGAAGAGACAGACTCGGTAAGGGGGCTGAGGACTTTGATTTCCAGGAATTTATGCAATCATTGTAATTCCTATGCCTGTAAATCTTTTCTATTTGAAAATCAACTTTACACTAAGCTACCATAGAAACTCTATTTTTATATTGAGCCAAGACTGAAGGAAATACTTCTGGGGAGGAAAAAGAACTGTTTATACCAACTGAAGAAACTTTTGTTTTCCTCAGCCATTGCATAGTGTGCAATGGATCAATTACTTATTAGGTGCTTCTTGAAAGATAAACCAATCCAAATAACTGTCAAAAACACTATTCTGATGTTACAACTTCTATTTCAGACATGAAAAGTAACAGTGGAAATAAGGATATTCACAATATATCTGGGAAAGAAATCACATTGGGAACAAATGATGCACAGGAAAGAAAAGCTTTATAAAATAGAGTAAAAATGCACATTCTATAAATATGTTTTGAGATTACTGTAGCATACATAATCTCATGGTTAGATTTGCCAAAAGGAAATGAGGGCACTCTATCAGTCCTCTGCAACACTTTCTATTGTATGTGACAGTATCATACGGAGAGATTTGGGGCATATACCATCAGTTCAATAAAAATTTTTGGAAGTGTAAATATATGATTAAACAAAGAAAATCAATATTGCTTCTAGGTACCACCTATTATTCTCTCTGCTAAATATAATCTGAGTAACCAACTAGCATATGAATATGACATATACCACATAAGAGGGGTTATAGGTGGCTCAATCATAAAGAATCCACCTGCCAATGCAGGAGACAAAGGAGATGTGAGTTCAATCCCTGGGTAGGGGAGATCCCCAGAGGAGGAAATGGCACGCCACTCCAGTATTCTTGCCCGGAAAATCTCAAGGACAGAGGAGCCTGGCGGGCTACAGTCCACAGAGTCAAAAAGAGTCAAACATGACTGAGCAAATGAACACGAGCATGCACGTACATATGGTGTAAGGCTCTAGAATGAAGAGTATGATGTTATGAAGATCTGATAGTCTTACTGAAAGGATGTAGCAATGCTTTTCTTTTGAATGAATTAGAGTATAAATAGCTTATCTATTAAAAATATATCTATATGGGTAATAAAAAACACTCTGTGAAATGTATCAATATTTCACAAATTAATCCTTTTATTTACCTTATGATTCTACATCTACCAATTTCAATTTGATGGGTTATTTTTCTAAAAGAGGAAAGAAGAAGCACTTAATATGTAATACAGTATGTGAGACTTTTTCTTCATGATTTTTCTAAAGTCGTTTGTTTAATACTAGATTCTAAATTTCCTCAGTGAGCTTATGCTCTGGTCTCTGAAGTTTTTCCAGTAACAATAATGACTGAAGCCACCCACCAGTTATTCACCAGGCACCATTAGCATGTCCTCATTCCAACCCCAAATTAAGATTAACATCAAGTGCTGAATGTCAGGGGTCTTGATCCCACTTCCTACTGAGCTTCCTACCACCTTGCCCCTTCTCTGATACCTGGAATCAACTTCAAGGCATTCTTCAGGTACTCATCTTCAGTGGTGGGGTTTCCATCTAACTCCAGCTCCAGCATGAAATCCCGCACAGCCCAAGTCCGGAAAGAATCTCACAAACTCGACTGAGTCCTCTACATCATCGGAGATGGGAGATGATTTGATTCTGATCAGCTCCGTTAATTCAGTCACATAGCTGGGATCTTAGCTAAGGAAAAAGAAGCACTCTCCAACAAAATTTCCAGCTCCTACCCCAAAACAAGTTTTACAAATATTCCCTTTTGCCCCATTTTACCATCTCATCAGTCAACAGAATGGCGTCGTGGAAAAGGAGAAACGGTGTCAGTTGCTATTCCCATAAACTCAATGAAATGTGCTAGTTCAGCTCTGGAAGGATACTGCAGCTGTTCCAGGGCCTGCTGGTTGATGGTGTTCATGCTGTTGTAGATAAAGGTACTGCTCAGGAGCACGGCCAGGGCAAAGATCCACGAATCATTTTTGGAGTCCCCCTACAAAGTACATTACAGAGTGAGGACACTACTCCTCATGCTTTCATTCATTGTTCATTTGCTGTAACAGCAGTATTGTAATTCGATAGTAAGGCAAGCAACATAAATTTTCAGCTCATTTCAGTTCAGTCTCTCAGTCGTGTCTGACTCTTTGTGACCCCATGGACTAAATGCAAATTTTTCTGGTGTTGATATTGACCCATCTAAGCTCTTTTGGGTGATTAGCTATTAACAGAAATGAATGGCATCTTATATATGTTTGAATGTTTACTACAGCATCTGGAACATAAGTTTTCCAGTAGAAAGTGGGCAATGATTCCCTTGCAATATTTTCTAGATCGTGATATATATTAGGAATAGAAATATTAATCAATTAAATTCAACTACTAACTGTTCATCTAGATAACAGGAGATACTCATTTGCTTACTTGAATATAAAGTTCCACATAATAATCCCTACCCTAGAGAGACAGCTTTCTGGAGGGTAAAGTATATATGGGAATATACATATTTATCCAAGATGATAAACAACTCAGTGTGGAACCAAATGTGTTACTGTAATAGACAAAGGAGTAATACCACAAAGACAGAAAAAAAATACTCTGTGCATTCAGAGCCAAGTGTGATTGTCTCTTACAGTGATGTGATGACATTAAGCTGAAAAGAATTGGGCATTAAAGAATTGACAGAAAGTAGATTTGTGAAGCTATAGGGCTTCCCTGATAGCTCAGTTGGTGAAGAATTTGCCTGTAATGTGGGATAGTAAGGAATCTTCCTGGAGTGCGGGAAACCTGGGTTTGGTCCCTGGGTTTTGAAGATCCCCTGGAGAAGGGAAAGGCTACCCATTCCAGTATCCTGGCCTGGAGAATTCCATGGACTCTATAGTCCATGGGGCCGCAAAGAGTCGGACACGAGTGAGGGCTTTCACTTCAGTCACTTCACGGACCATGCAAGTGGAAGGACCCACAGAAGCTGATCATGATTGCCAGGAACTGTGGTTATATAGAGGTATTACCAGGTTATTTTATTTGGCTGAAGTGGTGTTACCCGTGTGGTAGTAGATGAGGTGGAAAGTGATATTCAGAACAAGTCATGACTGACTTTGGAACTGATTTATATGGAATTCTTAGGCTTCCCTGGGGGCTCAGACAGTAAAGAATCTGCCTGCAATACAGGAGACCTGGGTTCGATCCCTGGGTCCAGAAGATCCCCTGGGAAAGGAATGGCTACCCACTCCAGTATTCCTGCCAGGAGAATTCCGTGGACAGGGGAGGCTGGCTGGCTGGCTACAGTCTATGGGGTTACAAAGAGTTGGTCACGACTGAGTGGCTAACACTTTCACTTCTTTCACCAAGATACATTGCAGATAGTGAGACCAGCAAGTGGTTCTGCTGCTATCAGTGTGCAGTTTGTTGTGCTTTGGCTTATGGCAAGTGAGGTTAGATAAACGCAGCAGGTTATTAAAACTACAATCTATTATGAATCATAGACCATCTTGGGTTGACACTGATGTGATTACTGAATAAGTTAAATTTTGATTTATAATTCATAATTCATGTCCCAACTCTTTTCTGCAGTGATGAAACCCAAGATTCAATGCTCCTACATTTAATTTGGATGCAGATTAATACAAATAAGGAGAAAAAACTGATTGTAGCTTAACACTAGAAAGTCAAAATACCTAAAATTACCCCATTTACAAAGCTTTTCAGTTAAGAGTTCACTGACAATGCCCAGAGCCTTGGAATAAAATGTTCCTTGTATAGAAGGAGCTTTTCTGGAGATTTTAAAAATGTATATAAAGTAGATTTTTGTTAAATAGACCTTTAAATTTTGTTTATTTTTTAAAAATGTTATTTTATTAAATATTTTTTATTAAAATAGATTTTTATTCAGAGAAACTCTCTTTCATGGTTTCTACTTACAACCCCATCAACTCCACAGCTCTCAATTAGTAGAGCCCATTGTTCCCATGAGTTATAGCTTCCACTGGACTATAACTATAGTCTTCCACCACTATAACTGGTGGAAGACTGCTTATAGTCTTCTGACCATAGCCAGACTTCCACCAGTCTAGCTTTCACCAGATTTCCCAAACTAACAACTGATATAGGTTATCACTTTGTGTAAACATGGTTCCATGTGCTGATAACACTGCATATTTCTTACCTCACCAACTGAGCTCTGGGCCTTTAGCTCCATCACTGTGATACCTGTTGCATTTAACACAAAGCCCTGGGATTCAGATGCCCAATAAATATTTATTAACTTATACCTTTCGTCTCCCCTGGAGGAGGGCATGGCAACCTACTCCAGTATCCTTGCCTGGAGAATCCCCATGGACAGAGGAGCCTGATAGGCTATAGTCCATGCGGTTGCAAAGAATAACAATTGTGTGTTAATTTTATATCCTGCAACTTTACTATATTCATTGATTAGCTCTAGTAATTTTCTGGTAGAGTCTTTAAGGTTTTCTATGTAGAGGATCATGCCATCTGCAAACAGTGGGAGTTTCATTTCTTCTTTTCCTATCTGGATCCTTTTATTTGTTTTTCTGCTCTGATTGCTGTGCCCAAAACTTCCAAAACTATGTTGAATAGTAATGGTGAGAATGGGCACCCTTGTCTTGTTCCTGATTTTAGGGGAAATGCTTTCAATTTTTCACCATTGAGGATAATGTTTGCTGTGGGTTTGTCATATATAGCTTTCATTATGTTGAGGTATGTTCTTTCTATACAACTGAGCAACTAAGCAACAGCACAGCACATTTTTTGTCTCAGTGATGAAAATAAGAAGATCTATCTATAATAACGGCAGGAGGGCTGAGAGGAGCTACTCCAGTTCAAGGTCAGGAGGGGCGGCCGTGAGAAGATACCCCTCCGCCAAGGTAAGGAGCAGCGGCTGTGCTTTGCTGGAGCAGCCGTGAAGAGATACCCCACGTCCGAGGTAAGAGAAACCCAAGTAAGATGGTAGATGTTGCTAGAGGGCATCAGAGGGCAGACACACTAAAACCATAATCACAGAAAACTAGCCAATCTGATCACAGGACCACAGTCTTGTCTAACTCAGTGAAACTAAGCCATGCCGTGTGGAGCCACCCAAGACGGACGGGTCATGGTGGAGAGGTCTGACAGGATGAGGTTCACTGGAGAAGGGAATGGCAAACCACTTCAGTATTCTTGCCTTGAGAACCCCATGAACAGTATGAGAAGGCAAAATGATAGGATACTGAAAGAAGAACTCCCCAGGTCGGTAGGTGCCCAATATGCTACTGGAGATCAGTGGAGAAATAACTCCAGAAAGAATGAAGGGATGGAGCCAAAGCAAAAACAATACCCAGTTGTGGATGGGACTGGTGATAGAAGCAAGGTCTGATGCTGTAAAGAGCAATATTGCATAGGAACCTGGAATGTTAGGTCCATGAATCAAGGCAAATTGGAAGTGGTCAAACAGGAGATGGCAAGAGT